TTGTCTATTGTGATTTCGTCTTTGATGTTTACGAAGGGTTTTACTAGTTTAGCAGTCCAATCACCGGACAAAACTGCCTGGTGTACTGCCACGAGACTGGGATCTTTGGAAGCGTGTTCTTTTATAACCTTTAAAGGTATTGCCGCTTCAGCGTTCTCATATTCTTCGGCAATACTATGCTTTGGCACGTGTGACTGTAGATGTCGGGATAGGAAATCTGCTGGGTTGTCGCAACCCTTCTTGTAGATTACCTGAAAGTCATATTGTTGTAACCTTAAGAGCCATCGTTCGATTCTGGCAGGGAGTCGAGACAGAGGATTGTTATAGATCAGCTGTAGTGGTTTGTGACAGCCTCGTACCCAGGCGCTTTAGTAGTAAAAAAAATTGTTGCATTCAGTTATTGTATAGAGGTCTGCTAAAAAAAACGCGAGCGCACGGGGGTGCTTGGGGTGGTTTTGCCAAATTTAGCGCCTGGCAGAAAATGAATTCAACATGGAAACAATCAAATGAATAAACAATATAGCTAATACAATACAATATAATTATATACTATAATTACTTGAATTAGATCCAGGTTTTTACAGATATACCGGTTTTTAAAAATGTTTTAGGTTGATTAATATTATGTTACAAATTATATCCGATAAGTATCACGTATGGAATCAATTTACTTTTCAATTCATTTGTCGCCATATCGCGTTGAATTCATCATCGAACTCGCTAAAACAAACCGTCCCAAGCACCCTTGCGCGCTTGCTTTTTTTAGCTGAACTCTATACAATACCTGTTTGCAACGTTATATATTTTAGTATTAAAGCGCCTGGGTACGAGGCTGGGTTTGTGATCTGTTATCAGCGTGAAGGGAGCCCTGAATAGGTACAGATGAAAATGCTTGATTCCCCACACGATAGCAAGAGCTTCCTTCTCCGTTTGGAAGTAACGTTTTTCCACCTGAGAGAGAGCGCGACAGGCATAGGTAACAATATTGGAAGCATTTTGCTGTGGATCCTTCTGAGTTAATATCGCGGATAATCCCGCGGGGCCGGCGTCGACTAATATCGAGGTCTCTTTAGAGGTGTCAAAATGGCTCATGACAGGACTATTGAGTAGAGCCTGCTTCAGTTTGTCGTAAGCTGTTTGGTGTTTATGTGTCCATGTAAAATGTGCATTCTTTCGTGTTAATTCGCGGAGTGGTTCAGTGATAGTTGCATATAGTTTATAAATTTAGAGCTTATGTTGGCCATTCCCAACAAAATTCTTACTTCACTGACTGTTTTCGGTTGTTGTGTGTTTGCAAAGGCTTCGATTTTCTTAGGGTCTGGGCTGACACCCTTTTCGGTAAAGATAAGTCCGAAGAATTCGAGGTTCTTTTTAAGGAACTTCCATTTCTCGAGATTTAAGGTAAAGTTGTGTTGTTGTAGTCGGGTGAGACACTCCAGAGCACGGTCGTGGTCTTCCCTGGTGTTACCAAATACAATGATGTCATCCGCAATGTTCTTTATTTCTTTGATGTCCTGGAGTACTTCCTGTAAGGAATGTTGGAAAAGCTCGGCCGCTGCGTTGGTGCCATAGTTTAATCGCTTATACCGAAACAGTCCCAGATGCGTGCAAAAGGTCGTGATATTTCGTGACTCAGGACTGAGTTCTAGTTGGTGGTATGCTTGGCACAGGTCAAGTTTTGAGAAGAACGAAGCTCCGTTGAGTTTCATGGAGACCGATTCAGGAGATGGTATTGGATGTCTCGTTCGCTTGATGGCTGTGTTCGTGACACGCATCTCGACACATAGTCGAATGTTGTTGTCTTGTTTTTTGAACAATAACCACTGGGGAAACCCATTCTGTTGGTGTATTTTCAGGCACTTTCTCAATTATATCATCATGCTCTAACTTTCTTATTTCATTTTCCACTTTTTGGCGTAGATGGAATGGTACCCGTCGCTGATGTTGTGCCACCGGGGTTATACTTTCGTCGATGGATAATTTAACTTGCTTCAGGCCACATCGTCAACATATCGTTTCCAAAACAAAAGTTTGACCGGACTAGAGGACAAAGCTCTTTGCTCGACATCTTCCATTACTAGGTTAGCAATTACTGGCGAGACTGGGGATCCCATCGCTGTCCCAAAAACCTGCTGGTAATAGTTGCTTTCGAAAGTGTAATCATCGGTGTAAAGAACGAAAAGTATTGCCTTATAGTTTAAGATTCAAACATCTAATTCGGAGTAGAAAGGGATACAAACTCATGGAAAATACTGGTTTTTCCTTCTTGAGATTACGTATAGATGATTGTCACCATTCTATACAGCGTTTGGGCTCTGAATGGTTGCGTTTTTTTGGCGAACTTTCTGAAACGTTGGATAGTTCTGAAGCCCCTTGGGTTGAAGATTTTTGTCGTTCTAAGGAACGCATACTTTCCCTCAAACAGAAAGAGAAACATGACAAAAAATTGTTACGTTTGTTGGAACATAAACCACCGTAACACTCAGATTCGGCTCTTAAGAAAATATGGGTTAAAAACCTATCTACTAAGGAGCTAACGGATATTGAAAGGAAAGGACTAGAACATGTTCTTAAGTTTGCTATTGCAGCGAGGCGAATTCCAATAGCTGAAATTGTCGCTTCGGTTGAAGAAGGAATTTTTCTCCTTAACGACGAAACTAAGCTGACGGTAAGAGCTGAAGTCAGTAGCATCCTCAGACGTGCTAAGGCTCCCCCGAGAAATATTGACAGTAACGTATTTAAAGCTTTGCTTTCTTTAAAGAAAGATCCGGACAGGGTTGTGCTCTCAGCAGATAAAGGCAATTGTTGTAATGGACAGAGAAAACTATCGCGAGAAAGCGAGTGCTCAATGACAAAAACACCTATAGTGTCCTTAAGTCTGACCCAACTGGTAAGACTGGTAAGAGAATTGAACAAACGCCTATTACTCTTTAAGAAAGCTAACAAAATTAGCGAGGTCACTTATAAATTGTTGCGTAGTAGCGATCGTTTATCTCTGCGATTCTATGATTGCCGACGATTCATAAGTCGGGAATACCTTTGAGACCTATCGTGACTTTTGTCAATTCCCCCACTTATAATCTTTCGAGGTATTTGGCTAGAATATTGTCTCCTACTCTTGGGAATACTGTCTACACAGTAAAAAACTCCACTCATTTCGCGGAATTTATTAGAGGTGAAACTCTAAACGCAGACCAAGTGCTCGTGTCGTTTGAGGTCGTTCCTTGTTTACCAAAATCCCTGTCAATCTTGCCATCGAAGTTGCTGAAAAAAAGACTCACAGAAGATGTTTCTTTATCACAAAGAGCATCGTTGCCTGCGGAGGATACAATCCATCTTTTATGCTTTTGTCTCAATACGACTTATTTTTCGTTCGAAGGCAACTATTACCAGCAGGTTTTTGGGACAGCGATGGGATCCCCGGTCTCGGCAGTTATTGCTAACCTAGTAATGGAAGATGTCGAGCAAAGAGCTTTGGCCTCTAGTCCGGTCAAACCTTTGTTTTGGAAACGATATGTTGACGATGTGGCCTCTGCGGTTAACAAAAATGAGATCAATAATTTGTTGAAACATTTGAATTCTATTGAGCCATCACCATTCAATTCACTGTAGAGCGCGAGAGTGAGGGAAAGTTGGCTTTTTTGGATACTTATGTTCATAGAAATATGAAGGGCAGTTAGAAACTGACGTTTACCGTAAACCTACACATACGGACAAATATCTATCCTTCTACTCACACCATCCAAAAAGTCATAAAAAGTCGTTGCAAAAACTTTGTTTCAAAGAGCTGAATCGTTAACATCCAATCGCGCTGCTTGGGACAACGAGCGTGATTATGTTCTCAGTGTACTGAGAGAGAACAATTATCCACGAAACTTTTTTAATGATTGTCTAAAATCCACGAAACTTTTTAAATGATTGTCTAAAATCCCTGTCTCGACTAGATTCAATTCCTCAGAGGGTGATTCCTCAAAAACAGATTTTGCTATTGTCCCAAACAATCAGGGAATTGCAGAACCAATCATGAGGATCCTGAATAATTGTGGTATAAAAGTTGCCTTAAGACCCTTTCAGACACTGGGACAGATTTTCGCGAAACCCTAGGATCGCGTAGCGACTAGACAAAAAACTCATGCTGTATACTCTATACCATGTGGTGATTACGAGAAAGAATATCTAGGTCAAACAAAACGCCAGTTCGGGACACGTTTAAAAGAACATCAAAAGGCCGTTTCGAACTTAGACAGTTCAAAATCAGCCTTGGCGGAACACGTGTGTCAAACTAACCATAACGTTGGGTGGAACGATTCAAAAGTAATGATCGTTATGGACAAATATACCACTAATGATCGTTATGGACGAAGGCGTTGTTTGGAAGCCTGGCATATTAATGCGAGTCTTTGTGCCCTTAATAAGGATGACGGAAGCTCTTTGCCAAAAGGATATTTACATCTGATTTATAGATGACGTCATTTTAAGAGTATATAAGGAACCGAGTTTAAACATCAGATCACCCCTGATGAAGACACTAGACGGAGTGTTGAAACTTTGGGTCGTGAAAGTTAATATTTGTGTGGTGATTACTTTTATTTATTAAAACCAGAGTAGCGATAATTACGATGGATTATATACCTGGTTGCCGTGAACTCATTAACTTCAATCTCAAAATCTCCTAGCCATGTTCGCCATCGAAGCGCTTGATTTCCTCTGATTTCTTCGTCAGGATTGAATGGTGGCATTGGAGTCACCAACGAAGCCATTGTCGTTTATTTAAATTTCTATCCTCGTCGCCATTGTTCAATTTTGAAATACATATATTATGCCGGCGATACTGCAGATTAGATTCGGTTTACTCCGAAATTGAGCACCGCGGTGAGTTTTCGTTATAGTTTTAAACTGGCATTAAAACTAACTGTGTTAAACCATGTTCAACCCGGGTTGATTCGCTTATAATTATAGTGTTAACTGACAGGGCTTTATTAAAACGTATAGCGCCGTAGTTATTTTTTGCTTTCCTTCATTCCATGCATACATAGTTTTCAAAAATTCCTTTAAGACAATTTGTTCTAGCTGGTTGCAGATGATTGCTCAAAACAAAAGCAAGTCCTTGCAGTTGCGTGAGAAGGATATCGAAAGTGTATCTAAGAAGCTATTAAGAAGTGCTCAAATGCTATTTCCACGGCAACTTAACGATCCAAACATCGTTTGACCATCCAGAAGTGTCGGAGATATAGATCTATATCGTAAGTAATAATAATTTATTGTATTTTTGAAGCAAATTGCGGGGCCGGGAGGCTTTCGGTATATTTTACCAATGCTAATTCTTGTAATCCGCTAATTCGCTAATTCTTGCGCGTTCAAGACTGAGTCTTTCAGCACTTTGATCACGAGGTTTAACAGAGCAAATTGCGGTCTGCGATACTCGCCATAACAATGCAGAAGATATAAAAGAGAAAAGCTTTCACGATTGCTAAAGTGAAATCAGTGACGATAATATCCCAATACTTCTGGCATTTCAACACTTATACAATAAGCGGAATCTTAGTAGCAATCTCTCACAATCAGACTCACGTCAGGAAATTTGTAAATTGAACAAGATATCAACTCTTAAAGATAATTTACTTACGAAATTGTCTATTTTTAATGTGTCTGTGTAGCAAACACTTCAGTGAATCCCTTAATGCCAAATTCAAGTGTAGTTTAGCAAATGCGAGTATTAGTGAAATTATGTTGTCATAAATTGAGCATTTAGGGAATCGACAGTGAAAGTTATCAAAGCCCTTAAAGGTATTAAATGACTTTTTACGTGTAAAGGTTTCAATCAAGAGTATTTAAATGTTTTTTATGCTACTGTAGCTAGCTTTCGTGAACGTGGCTGTTGAAATCTCTTCTTCTCGATCTCATCTGCAGCATCGATTTGAGAACTGTAAAAATGTGACTAAAAATAATGAATAATTGTCTCCATGCAGGAAGAAGACAACACAGCTGTTAATCACAACAGTACTATGTGATCATATCTTTTGGTAAAACACCCGCAGAGTGCATAAAAAAGAACTAATCTTTGTAATTCAAATGAGATGTCACTAACCATTGTAGTAATTGCCATAAAAAATGAATAAAACGCAGGACGTGAATGTCCTTGAATTATTAAAGCCGCATCCACACGGACGATTTATGTCTGCGATTTTTTCTTCATATAGAGTATGTTACTGAGTCAATTATGTTCAAGCCGATTATAAGCTAAATATATGTGTCAAAATGTACTCAATATCATGATACGCCGCCTGTCTGCTGATGCTGAAGGGCTAAATTGAATAACTTTTAAATTGGTAATGCTTGGTTTGTTTTCAATTGAGAGTCCTTGAAACCAAACATAATAACAAGATTATTCTCTGTCTGCGACGCAAATTACTCTCACATAATCTGGATGTGAAGTCCGTAATGCAAACAAAAGCAATATTTTCAGCAGCTGAATCTCCTTGTTTATGATTTACCATAATATTATATGTTTCTGAATCATCAAAGACAGATCGAAATTTTACGGATAAACTGAGCGTTTAAAATTTCAAGAATTTTAAACATGGCTTACAGAACGTCAAATGGTTGGTAATGGTGCTTTTTTTTAACCACAGGGCGACACGTAAATAGTATTTACTTACAGTGAATTTACGGTTACTTAAAATAGATTAAACCAGCTTACACTCTATACATTAAAATTTTAAACTTTAAAGTGCCTTTAAATCATCGGTTGAGCTACAGTAGGGTTTGTCAGAATAAATTAAACGGCTTAAATTTAAATTTAAAATACCTTAAAGAAGCAATGGTATCGTTTGTTCAGATAGCTAATTTGACTTGATATTTGCTACAATAATTTATTTAATTAGTCTTAAGGCCGTATCACACGATGTCATTTTTCTTGCAAAATTACATTGAAATGCAATTCTGCATTTGAGAAATTTATTTGATTCCTTTTGAGTAATTGTAATAGACGAAGCGACGAACTATAAAATACCTAAGAAGAGGGATTTTATGAGTAAAATTGCAGTAAAGTTCCCTCTACATATATCATGTATCAGAGATTATAATTCTTCGGGCCATGCGCGGGTTAACACCGGAATAAACTTTTGACAAAAACTTTCGTGTTTTTGTCTGTTTTAGGCAGGGGCGTGCTGGGTCTTCAAGAAGAACAACGAATGAGTAACATTTTAGGGGCCCAAGGGCGCGATCCAAACAAAAACAAACTAGACAAACTGTCTCCACTTTATTATACTGTATGACGCTAAGGTTGCAGGGATACTAGTACTTCAAGTAACCTTACACGGTGAGGCGATTCTGTAACGAGACGCTAACTTTGGCCACGTACTTGATATGCAAATAAAATAGCTCTTAATAATACAGGTCTAGGACATCATGATTTAGCTAATACACAACTCTTCTATAAAGGTTGCTTTTATAAACTGTTGTGTATTTAACACTTTTTCAAATTTCAATTTATAGTCTAAACGGCCCATTATGCCAGGGGCCCATTATGCCAGGGGCCCACAACGAGTTCCCATTGTCTCGACCCTGGCCAGCACGCCCCTGGTTTTAGGTAGTTTCTATACCAGGGGCGGATCTAGAGGTAGTGAAACTTAGTCACGCGACTAAGGTAACAATTGCACTGATATACTAATTCAAAACATTTCCAAGTATTCTAGTTAAAAATATTCCATACAGTGTCAGACGTGTGCGTATTAATTTTCAAATGCTCTCCCGATTAAGTCCAGTTATATATCTCATGCATCGCTTGAGCCAGCGTGCAGATTGGTCAAAAAAGCGGCTGCGTGAAATGTCTGCGTGAATTTTGACTAAATTTTGGCGTAAAATTCTCGCGTTCTGTTTGGCTGTCTAAAGAAAACCTCTGGCTTCTCACTGGCTTGATGCGTTTGACTATTTCGCTGCGTGGGGTAATCTAGTCAACCTCAATCAATATATAGGAATAATAATGGCATTTTAGTTCGCAAAGTTTCAAATTTGTTGAAGATTTTGTATCCAATATCCATCGCTCATACGAATTGATAATGCCAATCTACGATTCGATCTGAATTTTAGCGGAAACGAGTATTATAGAATTTCAGTGATGGAAATAAATTATATGTCTATTTCTTCAGGCTAGGGGATTTTGCATGCATGTATTTCTGGTACAATAATAATGAACTCAATATGTGTTGTGGTACAATAAATATATGAGCTAGGTTTGTCATTGTATTTGGATATATTTGCGGTTCCTAGAATCTCATATTATGTAATATTTACATCAGCCGAAGCTTTCCTGTCAGAATTTTTATCTAACTAGCCAGTTTACAGAGTTGCAAAAAAGCTGCGGGTACGCGGGTGACACCCGGAGGAAGGTTTGCTTTGAATGAAGTTTGTGAGGAAGGTTCAAAGTTGAACACTCTAATTGATCACATGCATGTACCAAAAAACCAAATATTTCGTTATGCTGGCTGCCATTTGACTCAGTGTCGTAACGTAATTTTGAGGAAAGTTTTCAAAACTTGAAATCCTACCGGAGGAAGGTTGAACTCTTTTTGCAACTCTGCCAGTTTAGCACACAGATTTACAAATTTCTTTGCTAAAACAAGTCGCAGCTTAAAGCTTATAAAAGCATAGTTTGTCGCATGCTGTGGTGTAATTTGATCTGTAATATGCCCATGAATTAATATTTGTGAAATATTTTGTGAAGTTTTAGTATTGTGATTAATTTTCTTTTGAAAATAAAAAATGCGCAAAAGAGGTGAAAAAATTGTTTTCCTAAGAGCCTGAATGTTTCCCGAGACGAAGTCGAGAGGAACATTGAGACTCGAGGGAAAACAAAACTCACTATTCCCCGAGGTGGTGTGCATTTTACACACTTATAACGAAAACATACATGTTACACAACAATTTCATTTAAAAAAGAAACTCACTTTGTTATGACAAGAAGCGGCCAACAATTTTTCACTTGTTTTCCTCGCGGGAAACATTGTATTTATTTAAAGTCATGTGAACCAATCAGATTTAAAGTACACAGCATCTATATAACAACATCAGTTACTGGCTGATACAACTTTTAAATACTTCTTCAAAACAACTTTGAGCTTATTTGATTTCAACAAAAAGTTAGTCGCAGTAATTGAATTGCTCAAAAGACGTTTTTATCAATAAATTTGAAAAAACCTTTGCATACTGCAAGAAATTGATCAAATGAGTAAATAAATTCAGCAACTGAGCAGAAAGAGATTTTTCGAATGTGCCTTTAGCTATAATGACACGATTGTATATGAAATATATCCGATTATCAAAATGTGTTAATACTATCTGTCAACCCCGTAGTATCACTCACTTTCAGTGATTATCTGTTGCAGTGGCTTTAGAAAGTTTTTCGAGATTAACTGATTTGATTTTCTATTCTTTTACAGAAGAAAATTGCAGCACCAGAATACAGCTGTAGCTTAAAGTCAACGAATTAAAAACAAGTGGTCTAGGTAGGCGGAGTTTTTTAACAATAAGAACGTCTTTTAGTAAACTCTGGCCCACTATTCTTTAAGTATTACGTGTTTACTTACAGTCGGAAATTAATTTTAATGTGTGATGGATAAGGTTCAACAACAACTGCGCTGCCTTTCATTGTGCTCAGACTTACAACGAGGCGGGGAACGTGCCTGGCAGAGAATGTGATAAATTTGAAGAAGAACAATGATCAAAGATTTACCAAGTCGTTTCATAATGTGACTATCGAAAGTAAATTGTGACCTTTTCTACCATCTTCCTGCTCTGAAAGCACTATGTACTGGTCTTTCCTTTCCCGAAATCGCACTTAAGACATTTCGTATTCTTCGGTCAATACATAACGTTCTTCTGAGTGGCTCTTTCGTTCCGCCATCTTAAATGTATTTTGTGCCAAGCGCGTTGCCTGTTTTCCGTCGGTGTCGCTTCGCGCTTGTCCTCCATGCAGACAAGAATTACAAAACTTGAAACAAAAATTACGTAGTTAATATAAACCAAAAATACGCCCAGGGGGCGAGGACGTGATGAAATTTCATTATTTTAAATTTATTTTCAGCTACTAGAAAAGGTGATCCATAATGGCAGAAGCACCATCGCCACAAGTTGAAAAAGCAGAACAGGGTATTGTCAAAGAGGATCTCTGTGATGCAGGTTTTGGTGGTAACTTTGAGATCATTATCGACGGCGCAATTATTAACGAGCGGTCATCAGACAGAGAAAATCTTGGCGCATCATACGAAATATGCAAGAAAATTGATCAGGCTATTATAAAAGTCCTGGGTGGCATAAGAAAGGATCACCATTTTGGGGAAATTCAAATGGGATGTCTTCTTGTCCTACTGCATTGTTTTACGGACGAAAAATTTTCCCAGGTTTTCGAAGATATTACATCAGGAGAAATGAAGGAAAAATTACGGCTGGAACTTTTAAATAATGGAATTAGAACAGAAAGATTGGTGGTTAATATTAGAAATAGGGAAGAAGTTGAAACAACGAACGCAGCTATACAGAGGTACAGTAAAACAGCCACGTATGCGCGTAAGAGTATCACATGTTGTTACAACAACTTCTTATATCATCAGACTTGTTACGATGATGTCCAACTAGTCTGATAAAGACATGAACATCTATAAAAATATTGCTCTGATCTTGTGTTGCTGAGTTTGTAGCGACGTTGTTATATCATTAGGGCCGGCTGCGGAACATAAAATTTTTGGGTGGCAATGAAATTAAAAAAATATATATGCACACTGTTAGATTTTCCACTTGATTATGAAGTTATTTACAATGATGTGAGAGCATTTGCCGTGAATTCACGAATTCGTTTCATTAAAAGCATCGTTTGATTACAACCAGGGAATACTGCATGGTAACATGAAATATATTTAAATTCTACTTTATTACACCGTAGGCGATTAGAGAAAAAAGAAAATCAGGAGCCAGCAGACGGAGGGACTGCCTCGAGATCAGGTAAAAAGATGAGAAAACTAGTTAAGAGTGTAGATGAACAAAGTCGGAGATGACCTATAGGCCATAGTTAAGAGCTTTATTGTATTCATTTTGAAATCAGTGGTGTTTCTTGCAAACTGATTGAGTTTGTTTAATTTTTTGTATGATTTCAAAATGAATATAATAATGTGGAAATTGCCCTTCCAGTCGTGAAATCAAACTTACCATTATTAATTGGGAAAGGGTGCATAATTGAAAAGAGTGTGCTGGGAAAGTTAGGCAGAAGGTCTTGCTTGACTTGTGATTTTGTAACCTTTAGAGTACACTTTTTGTCAATGTCGCCGTACGTGGTAAAAGAGCGCAGGCCTAAGGGCCTGAGGCTAAAGTTAATGTACCAACTTTTTTAGCGTAATATTAACTGCATTACCTGACTATTTTTTTAGAATTCATTCCACAGATCATTGTCCAGGGTGGAGCGTATTCTCAGAAACCTCATCATATGTGTATTAGTATTAAAGACAACGAGTATCTAGAAATAATAAAGGACTCGGCAAAAGCAGGGAATAACATTTTACAGGTAACTTGCATGACGATTATTTTCAGTATTAATAACCGTGAAATATAACATCAGACGCATCATACACCTTCCGAAGTTTTATGTATTAAAAGCGTTCACTAGTTTTTGCACGCGAATATTTTAATTTGATTTTCTCTTGTAAATGAAATTATGATCTTGTCTATAACGTAACACATTCAGATTTATAGTGACATACATCAGTGAGAAAATCGAAGTTGTGTTTATCCACAAAAGAATGATTTTTAAAGCTGTGTCGGCTGAAATAATATCAAGTGTAAAATCTTCCAACTTTATTATTCACTATAAACTCAGTCGAAAATTTGGTCTTGTTAACTTGTTGAAACGTAAAATGTCCTGACCAGATTCGAGTTTGCCTCTAATGTATTGAAAAAATTATGAATATATTTCCACATTTATGAAATATAAATTTTTCATCAAAATTTTACAAAATGGCAGTGGTGCATTTACGTTTGAAAATGCAAATTTTTGTGTCAACCAATCAAGAGCCAACAATGGCACATGCGAATGACGTCATGATTTGAAGTCCATTGCATAATAGAGGATGACTTTGATTTTGCACTTGCACATCGTGGATTTATATATCCGAGCGGAATTAGTACCCTCACCAGCGGGGATTTATCTAGTATAACTTTAGCCTGGCCTGAAGGCCTTAAGGTCCCTGGCTACGTCCCTGATCTAACAAAATAAGCTTAGAATACAGTTTATGAGATTTGCAGAACCAGAGTAAGTCAGAATAAATTTATTCAGCTCTAACTTGCAATCATATTGGTAGATCTTTGTGTAAAAATTTTCTTAGAAATGAAAAGCCGATAGCGTTGTTATTAAAGTATTTTGAATTGGAAATTCAGCCGCGTAATCTATTCTGACTTATCCTGAATAGGCCACTGGTTTATGATGAGTACCAGAGATTGTGGAACGCCATATTTAAATACTATACGCCACGTACTCCCCGCTCTGTATATTTTACTTTCTCTGTGAGTTACAATTTCCATTTACTGTAAAAACCGTCTTAAAGACCGTTGGCGGTCCGGATTATAGAAATGTGAACGCAACTAAGCAATTTGTTTAGCTAAAAACTTACAATCTACTTTTCGGAGGTTTTAAAAAATGTGACTATACCTTCTTTGGTAGCTTCTTCCTTTCTCCGGCTAAGATGGGCTAAAACGCATATATTATATACCACTTATCAACCGAATTCACATTCAGCACTTATTAAATCTTTTGGAAAGAATATCTAACTTATATTGAACAAAATTACAATGATGTTTTGATTACAATGATGAAATTTCGATTTTTGTTGCCGATTGTTTTTGCGTATTAAAAGCGTGTCATTGTCAAATTTATCTCAATTCGTATGTAATAAACGAATTACTTCATGGTTGCCTTGTTTGTACGTACGCACTCGCTAACCATGAAATAATTTATATTCACCCCGCGCTACCATTATATATTTCATAGAACAACGGGACGGCGATTGATGCGGTAGAGGCAGCAGTTCGTATTTTGGAAGACAGCGAATATTTTAATACTGGTTGCGGATCATTATTGACCAACGATGGTGAAGTTGAATGTGACGCTATGATCATGGATGGAAACACGTTAAACACTGGTACACAATTTCCTGTGCATGCATGCGAGTTTATTCATAGCATGAAGAGATTGCCGAAGATTAGCCGACATTATGCATATTTTCCTTCGATCAATAAATTGAAAATAGCTCTAGCTCTAAATTGAAAAAGATTTTAGTGCTCGCATTATCTTTCAGAAATACGGCATGCTCATTATTTGTCACAGAATAGGAAAATCGACAAAGAAAAATCTGCATAACTTTTCTTCAAACTATATAGACGAAAATAATCCACTCTCTTTCCAAAAGTATGATTAATGGTAATCATAATTCAGTATTGCCATACTGTTATTTTGTATAATTCTTCAAGGACATGGTTGTCGCGAACATTAGAGGAATGTCTATTCTGCAAAGGGTTAGGGTCCTTATTCTGAGCCTTATTGGCTTCAAGATATAAGCAAAACTGCCAGTTAATAGAGTGAAACTCATAAGACCTTTGAATAATGAAAATCCTAAACTATATTCTTATACTACGAAGCTATGTTATACTAAAAGGCTCTTATAATACGAAACATTAAGATTATCATATCCAAGATTGTCGTGATATATTGATATATTTCTACTTCTACAGGAGCAGTGATATCTGGACGCCATTTCAAAAATCCAGTTTCACTCGCCAAACTAATCATGAGTGATACCGACCATTGTGCCCTAAGTGGTGAAGGAGCGCTGAAATTTGCTGTAGAGAAAGGATTTCCCATTTTTGATCAGCCTCAAATGATCGCCGATCATGTAAAAGAATTAAAAATTCCATATTCGAAACTTCGTGATTATATTCGCAACCGCTATAAAGGACTTCCTTCACAGCCCAGTGATACCGTGTCGGCTATTGCTATGGATGAAAATGGTCATTTGGCTTGCGCGACGTCAACAGGTATCTGCCTTTTGTGTCCTTACTAAAATCTTGGACAAAACCCATAAAACAACAGGCTGATCATGTAATTTGTATATATGCTATTCTCTCAGAAAATAGGAAACCATTTTATGGGAGTTTAAAATATTTTTTAAAAAATTGAGCTAAAAGCAGAGTCATCTGCTGCATTATGTCAACGTGACCGCCGCATGCACAACAAATTTTAAAGCTTTTTTGCTAGTCATAGCAGAACTCGCAGCATTTCCCGAAATGTATTCCCACATGGCTGCCAAACATGCGTGATTTAGCGCTAATTTTAGGAATCCAATATGGTCCACTCTAAGAAAGGAATTGGAATCGTTATAAATTTTAACGATGATCAACCACTGAACTGAAATTTGAGGGAACTCGAGATGCTTATGATGGTCATCCTATGTTAAAAGTATATATTATCCTAACATATTGTTGATATTAGGTTCCGGATTTAAAAGATACGACAAATTTTTATTCTTACCTTGAATATTTTAATTCACAAATTTCTTCTGCTTTTTTCCCTCATTCGCGGAGATCTACCAGCCAACAAGACTTTGTATTTTAATATGGTATGGTTTAAAAAACGACTATTCTTACATAGAATATCTCAGTTCACAAATACCAAAAATATAGTCAAGAAATTAGTTCGTTTCTGCCTAGATTATATCACCATCAACCTCAAGTATGGCATCGCGAATATTTTTCAAATTCTGTTTTTGTGGGTTACCAAACCTTAGTTTTGTTTTCCTCTGCTTTTGCCTCATTTACGCAGATCCACCAACCAAGCGATCTGGGTTCCTTCTGCTGATTTTCTTCAATTTTCCTCTTTATGAACTTTATTATAATGCTAGCCTAGCCATGATCTGCCTAATGAAAAAAAGTTCTGGAGGACAGATAAACCGTGAAACAACTTAATCTGATGTCATCTAAACAGGATCTCACTTGATGTGCTCAACCGTGCAGAATCCCTTCATGATCCCTGCTCACGTGATGGAAAATACACGCGTAAAAACGCACAAGTTGTAACAAGTCTGCGGCAGAGTTGTTACCAGTCTGCTCACAAGATGCAACAAGATTTGTTCGCACTGCTTGCTCCAATTTGTTGTAACAAGTTTGGAACAAACTGTTAACAACTCCTAGCAAGTCTATGGCACTATTAGACTTGTTACAAGATTGTTCTGACAAGTCGTATCAGAGATGATACAAAAAACATTGCTACGAACTTGACTGCAAAAGATTGTAGCGATATTGTCACATCATGTTTGTACCAGACATGTTGGAACAGCCTCAGTGTAGCAAGTCTTTTGACTCAATATGTTTGTTAAAACTTGTTAACAAGTTGTCCCATCTCGTCAACAGCTTGGGACAAGCAGTGCGAACAAATCTTGTTGCAAGCTTGTGAACAAACTTGCTACAAGATATGACATTTTTACGCGTGTACCCTCGTGGTTATTTTCACGTGAATCATGACTTCTTTGTTCACATGATCAATTGGCCACGTGCAACATCATGGTCTTTGTCCACGTGAATCGTGGTTCTTGTTCACTTGACCTATTGTGTCCGCACCCTTTGCTAGCTACATGGGGCGGGGTTATCTACTATCGCGATATTCATTTTTCATCAATTTTGCGGAGTGGTTTTTGATCGCCCATGGCCAGAAATTGCGGACATGGAATATGCAGATTGCCGTAGCAAATATGCATATCTGTTCAAATATTATTCGTTTGCACAACTATAAATTATATTGCGCAATCTTAAATTTCGCAAAATTTAAGAAAATCATTGCATCTTTGCAATTTGCTCCGGTTGTTTCTTGTAATTCGTGTAATATTAAAGATCCTGAGGTAATATTTTGCTGGTAAAACTTTATGTTGGCTCTGCATTTTTATTTTATTTCTACGCTATTACAGTTTTCGTTTTTATGGTATTGAACGTGTTAAATGACCAAAACTTTGTTTTGAAAATGCAGGACGAATACTGATAAAACATTTTGAAATACTATATAAAAATATTAAGATTAACTTGCTCTGCAACGAGCAATTAAGGCAAATTATAATCGACCTACCTAAAGGTGTATTTTTAGCGTTTAGTACTGTGCACATTACAGTTTACTCACGAAGCTTTATTTTGACACCATATGCAAATTTAAGCGGAAGTAGAATGTTAATTATGTCCGAATTTTCTGGCCATGATTATTTTCTTTTAGTTGTTGGTATGAGATATTGCATTACTTTAAGTATTCATTTTCAACAATATTTTACCAGTATTTGAACTAATATAAGTTGCGCCGCGAGCATCGATAAGTGGGTCATTTTTTGTTTATTTTTTTATACTAGTTTCATAATTGTGTTTGTTTATAATCAGGCTCTATCTGTATTAGATTGTGTGATTTGTTTGATAAAATAAAATCAATGCCAGGGAAAAACAGGGAAAAAATCTAAATGGCACTAGATTGAACAACTGGAGCCTGTTCTTATGTTTAGGTGGTGTACCGGGAAGATTGTCTGGTCGTGTCAGTGATGCATCGCTGGTGGGCTGTGGTGGTTACGCAAATAATCGCGGAGCAGCAACCACATCTGGACTAGGAGAATCTTTGATGAAAATGAATCTAGCGAGAGAGGTCGTGTACCTGATGGAAGGTGGAATGAATGCTCAGGTTTGTTTAAAAATTCTAATTAACATAACTAATGTAAGTCCGTATTTTAATAAAGGTGGCACTATACAGTTTATTGATATTAAGCCATTTAAATGTTTGGCTAAGAGACTAACTTTAATATAACTTTTAGACAACATACCTGGAGCCAAAATGTGTTCTAAACTCTGGCTTTGCAACCGTTGCTATAACAACAGACACGCTTCAAAATGGCCGCCAAACAGATTTTAAACGAAATTTTATATCAAAATGTCCAAAAAAATTTTGCATTAAAATTTTAAATTACGTTCGTTTTTACGATAGAAAAGTTCTCAAAAAATTCTGTATTGAGTGATTATTTCCATTGGAAAATTATTTTTATAATCGTTTTAAAAAAATGGCCCTGTTTCAAAACTTTTCTATTTCTAACGATAAAGACTTCGAAGTGTAAAATTTTGATGCCAATAATCGGGGGGTAACCGAACCGTTTTTATTCGGCGGCCATTTCGATATGCCTCTTTTGCTATAGCAATGGTTGTCGAGCGAAAGTTTGAAATAGATTTAGGCTCTAGATACTTTGCCTAAGTTATAATTTCCAGTCATCTGGCGAAATATTTTAAATGGCTTACTATCCCCGTTCAAATGGACAATTTCAAGATACTGTTTAGGAGCCACATTAAATGGAGTGTTCATGAAATGTCTAATTGTCCGCTACAGGATTCTGCAAAAAAAGCTTTGGAAAACATGAAGAAACAATTGAAAGACGTAGGTGGTGTTGTTGCGATTGACAAAAAAGGAAATTTTGGATTGTATTTTACTACTGAAATGATGGGTTGGGCAAGCATCAAATTTAATGAAATGAAATTTGGCTTGAAAAAAGACGAGAATTTTGAAGAAACTATATGATATTTTCAAAGTTCTGGCGTAACCTTTTTTAACTGAAGACGTTCCGTTTTTTAGTTTTTAAGAGAACTAAAAGTGCGTGAATAAGAGCATGTAGTGATTTGTTTGTTGCTTTGACATAGCTAGAAGAACAATTCATGTAATTGTTATATTTGGTAGGTTTACTAATTTGTAGTAACTTTTAGACTTGTGACACACGTGCAGCGTGGTATCAAGTTTTTACCAAAACGTTTCCCATCTTTACATCATTGTCTATGTTCTTACCATTTTATTTGTTTAAAACTGTATTTAAATAATAAACGATAATACGAAGCTGGAGATCGGTTACATTAGAGAAGATGACAATTCGGATAAGTGTTTTCACGGATAATGGCTCCTTGCTGCAGTTACGTCAGTGTAGACAGCAAAATTTTAACCTTTAACGTAAATAATTAATAATGCAGTTTTACTGAAGCAAGAACGCTGATAGACGTGTGCTGCCATAGGCGTTTTATCTCGCCCAAATTATCATAATTTTAAATTTTTAGAAATTTTTAAATTTTTTGTTGTCTCCGAGTAGATTGTTTTGGTGATGAATCAGAATAATGCACAAATTAACCATTTATTACCTTTTTCACCGTTCATAAATAATTCGGTATATTTTGACGAGGAATTATTTTGAGTCATACGACTGTATATTAGGCGTCCTCCCTTGCGCGCAAATATAAGCGAGCAAAGGCCCAATTTAGTTTGCATGGGATCTTTGATGTTGTTAATTATATCCCGAGTTCTTTTCATCTCGTATTGAACATCCTTCCAATCAATTTCTTTGGTCTGAAGTTCTTTACTAAGGAAGTATAGCTTGCCAATAGATTTATGAAGTGCTGTCAGACCTACAATGAACTTTCCTGGCATCAGTTTGTGGTCCACTCCAGCTGTTGTTTCTGCCTGCGATCTCATATATACTTAGCTCATACTCATGAGTTACCAAATCTTCACGATTTCCACCGGGATTGTTTGCCACGTCGATCTGAGTCATGAGGACAACGTCAAATCTTTCAGATATAACATTAAAGGCTTAATTCGTATTTGCATCCCCAACGGCAACGAACAACAATTGTTGTGCAATATGTTTAACTGATACATCTCTCCATGAAGTGATTCGTACTTTTGTACTGATCTTCGGTTTATTGATCAATAAATGGCATGATTTTATTAATTGTAGTCGTAACATCCATTGATGACGAAGACGCCTTTAGCATGTCCCCGACAACCAAATTTTACGGGCAGTACAATGGATGGTTATATGGCACGCGGTCTCGTGACTAAAATGGCGTGCGCTGATTGGTTCTTTGCCGGTCTGGAATCCCCCAGTATTAGACCATTGCGGTAGTAACGGTCCAACACTCATATTTTTTTAACAAAAACAAGCTTGCACTTTTATGTTTGACACGAAAAATATCGACGGAGAACGGACGAAGAAGAGCATTATTTTGGTACATGTGAATATTATGTTTATTAATCTTTGATTTTTGTTTATATTACTGTATCATTCTTATTTAACGAGTAAAAAACAAACTTTTGGAAGCCACTTCCGTGCTTGCTTGGCGACTGGCTGGCGAAAGAGCCGGCAAGAATACTGCAGCGCATTGTATAAATAAATAAACTAAATACTGTATGCCATATAATAAATCCCTTATTAACCGAATACGTTCGGTCCGTACTGGAAAAATATCAGACCTCGGTCTTATGTACGGACCGCGCTATCGCTCGGTCTACTGTCACACACTAAAAAAAGGTGTGTTAAATTTACACACCTTTTTTGTCCAAATTTTAACACACCTAAAGGTGGGTTTTGAAACACACCTAAAGGTGTGTTTAACACACCATAAGGTTTGCAAAAAGCATCTTTAAAGGTGTATTAACACATAGCAAGGTGTGTTTTTGTGCACACCAAAAGGTGTGTAGAACACACTAAAAGGTGTGTCAAAAAACACATCAAAAGATGTGTTTTTGGCTTGTCCAAATTTTAACACGTTCTAAAGTGTATTTTCAAAGAAGGTGTGTTTTCATACACACCATGGTGTGTTTCATTACACAGCTAAAGCTGTGCTGGAGAACACACAAATTGTTTAAGTAAAAAGTTGCACACCTTTCCTAAAAGTAACATATAAACAGGGCTAGAAAACACACAAACACAATATTAATTTATAAATATATTTTAAGTTCCAATACTATTAAGAATTAACATGAAGTCACAGTAATGAATTATATAAATATCTTGAAGCATGCAGTTTAGTTTAAAATAATGTCTTACTCTATAAACAGTTTATTGACTTGATGTCGTCTCGACTTGACACTTGGTGGTGTTTTCTTGTCTTGTTGGTCACCCTTGTTCTTGTTTGTTGGAGTGTATGGTGCCTGCTCAACTGTTGCAATAACATCATCGCCTTAATTCATGATCTTCATAATCAACAAAGGTCACCTGAAAATATAAAATAAATGCATAAGAGGATCTGGCATTTAGAATTTTCCAATTTAAGATGTGCACAAGCATCTGTTAATTAATAGAACATGCTAAATGATACCCAATTTATGAGTTAAGATTTATTTTTGGTAAAAGAATTTAGGATGTATTGTCAGGTATAGGCAGGTATAACTACATGAATTATAACCTTCTGTTGAAATTTGAAAAATTGGGGTCTGGGCACATTTCTTATATAGTTTCTTTAAAATGGGAAAGTTTTATTTAAATATGTATATGTAGCTATCTTTCAGGAAAAGTAGTCAAGTCTATAGTATTAAAAATCATAAACCATTCTGGAACACTCAAGTCAAATCAACTATCTAATATTTACAACATTTAGAAAGCAAATGCAGTATAGTGAGGACAAAAATTGGTCCTTTGGAATGTTACTAACCCCCAAAAGGAATACAAAAATTAAACATAAATTAAGACACAAAATTCAGATTACACCTAGCGAATTATATGCTTTCTTTATACCAAGCATAAACTATGGCATAAACAGCCTTATGTATACACCGATATACGTGTAAATCTCATTCTAAAAGCACCTAGAACAATTAAATTTTGAAAGATAAAACGTAACACTCACCAAGTCTCTCTTGTGATGTCGAATCTGTTCGCGTCGCCATGCGCTTCGGTGGTCTCTGAATTATTAGAATGAAGCAGACTTTTTACTTTCAAGCTATTCGGGACCTTCGAAGTCTTGAATTTCTTTGCATCGTTTGTAACGGAACCATCAATTTATTCGCTACAAATAGATAGAGACAACCATATAAGACCCTCTCCATGTCATTAAATACCATAGCCCTAACATTTGCATTTTACAGCAATTAATCATCCTTTGACATAAACTAATACTCCTCCCTTAAATTTAAACCCCTTGGAATATAAGTATTCAATTTCTCAATCCAAAAACTTTCCCTTTCAGTGGGTTTATTAACATCAGTGACGTCAATAATTTGCACTAAAAAGTCACTAAACCCTGAATGCCCTGCCTCAAAAAAATGTTCATACAAATGCTGTCCACAAATACCCCTTTGTCCTTTAGCAAATCTATTAATCGAACTCTTATGGTTATTAAACCTTAACCTAAATGACGTCACTGTGTTGCCCACGTATTGTTTATTACAAGTTTTGCAAGTTACCAGATAAATCACTCCCTTTGAATTGCAGTCAAAGAGATGGTTAATATAGAACTTACGCTGCCGAACCGTACTATAAAATACTTCGCCTATCACAATAGAATCACAAACTTTACACTTTTTACTACCACAATTAACCATCCCCTTAAATGAACATTCAACTTTTTGCAATTTAGCCCTAACCAGATGATCTCTAAGGCTTTTGGATCTTCGAAAACATACCATAGGCTGTTCAGACATAACGCTCAAAAACTGCCCCGACAAACCTACAATATTTTGCAATTCCCTAAAAATACCATACAATTCACGCAAAGCTGGGTGAAAATCTATCACAAAAATACTTCTGCTTTTTTGTTCACTATTTTGTTGTTCCGCCTCCTTATTAAAAAGTGCTGAACGATCCAAAAGCCTCACTCTCTCAAACTGACTTTCAACAAATTCATTACTATACCCCCGTTTGGCCAAAAAGCCTTTCAATTCCACCAATCGTTTCTCCAAACACTCATCTGAACGACAAATACGTTTCAATCGTAACGCTTGTCCATAAGGGATTCCCCTCCTCACATGCGGGGGATGACAAGATTTAAAATTTAAATACTGGTGTGCATCAGTATTTGCAGCTACCTACCCAGTGTAGAGCTACCTAAAATTCATAAGCGTTTGGATAGCGTACCAGGTAGGCCTGTTATTTCAAATTGCGGCACGGCCACGGAAAGGATATCGGAATTTCTAGATTTTCATATACAACCTTTAGTGATTAATGTACCATCTGTGATTAAAGATACAACCGAGTTTCTTCAAAAATTGGAAAATTTAGGGCACGTTCCATCTAATGTTATATTGTGTACTATAGACGTGGTTGGCCTATATCCTCATATACCACACAATGAGGGACTGGAAGCGCTTAGGAAAGCATTTTATAAGGCTGAGAGGGAGTTGCCTGTGAAGGACTTGGTTTCTTTGGCTAGATTGATATTGGCAAATAATTATTTTGAATTTGACGAAAAAATTTTTCGTCAAAAAATAGGGACAGCCATTGGAACCAAGTTTGCTCGGGGTTTTGCCAACATTTTTATGGGGTATTTAGAGGAAAGCTTTCTAGAGACATGTGAATTAAAACCGTGGGTATGGTGGCGCTTCCTGGATGATATCTTCATGATTTGGCTTCACTCGTGGGAAGAACTTGATAATTTCCTTCTCCGTTTGAATTCTTTTCATGAAGATATTAAGTACACATGGGATATAAGTGATAAGAGAGTTCCCTTCCTTGACGTTATGGTAGAACTAGATAATGGGGTCATTAGTACTGATGTGTACAGTAAACCTACTGATGCACACCAGTATTTAAATTTTAAATCTTGTTATCCCCCGCATGTGAGGAGGGGAATCCCTTATGCCATCCCTTATGACAAGCGTTACGATTGAAACGTATTTGTCGTTCAGATGAGTGTTTGGAGAAACGATTGGTGGAATTGAAAGGCTTTTTGGCCAAACGGGGGTATAGTAATGAATTTGTTGAAAGTCAGTTTGAAAGAGTGAGGCTTTTGGATCGTTCAGCACTTTTTAATAAGGAGGCGGAACAACAAAATAGTAAACAAAAAAGCAGAAGTATTTTTGTGATAGATTTTCACCCAGCTTTACGTGAATTGTATGGTATTTTTAAAGAATTGCAAAATATTGCAAAGTATTGCAGATCCAAAAGCCTTAGAGATCATCTGGTTAGGGCTAAATTGCAAAAAGTTGAATGTTCAGTTAAGGGGATGGTTAATTGTGGTAGTAAAAAGTGTAAAGTTTGTGATTCTATTGTGATAGGCGAAGTATTTTATAGTACGGTTCGGCAGCGTAAGTTCTATATTAACCATCTCTTTGACTGCAATTCAAAGGGAGTGATTTATCTGGTAACTTGCAAAACTTGTAAT